GACCATGAATAAGGTGATAATATATATGTTTAATATATAGATAATAATTCATTATTATTTTAACAATTGCATTTAAAATAAAAATTGTTTTTAACTGTTTTTAACTTCCATATTATTTTGAATGTTGTCCCTGTGTCTTCTAACCTGGAGTTGAGTTTTCTGAGGCTGCCGTCCAGGTCTCTTGAGGGCTCCAATAAGAAACCTCCAGCGGTTGATACCCACGCTGGTGTTGTTATGGAGGTAAGGGGTGCGAGGAATGAACACAGGGTAGAGCTTCCTACAGTCCCTCAGAGCAGCCATCAGTGCTGGGTTGTCATGCAGCCTGAGTCCTTGCGGAACCCAGTGAATACACGTCTGAGCCATGCCTGTGAACACATCAATTACAGACACTTTTTATTCCACTGTTGATCCCTAAAAGGAGGCATAGTGTGCATGGGTAACTTACAGACATTACATGCAAAAGGTGATCTGGGCTGTAAACTATGTGACACTCTGGTTGTTCTGTGCGTTTCCCCTTCTTCTGTGCAGAGACTATTTCCAGTGGCCTCACATTAAAGTGCAGTATTATCTGCATGTTTCAAACCAGTATAGGTTTCGATTTCCCAGAACTGCTCGACAAGGATACATTTGGAGGTTCTGGCATCGACTCAAATTCATAGACCCACAAGATCAACAAGCTGCATAAACAATGTACAGAACCTAATACAGCAAACCAACAATAAGATAGCAAAATGTCTCCGCCTCCAATGGGTTACATGCTTAAATGTAACCCCAGATGATGCAGAGCTGTGGAGAGAAACTTTACCTTAATTGCTCCTTAATGCAGTTACAACTCCGCTCGACCGATACTGTGCTGAGAAACTTGTGTTTGGTAACCAGCACGTTGACCGTGTTACACAAAACAGGAAGCTCTGCTACGTCTGCAGACAAACCAGCCAACCAGAGCGGAGCTGATGAAGCCACACGTAGCAGTTTGTTAGTTTGTACACCAGATGGCGCTGTAGTGGAAACAATAGTAAAGATTAATGTGAATTAAAATAATTGCAATAACCTTAATGTTACTGACAAGGTTATCTGGGAGATATGGGTTCACTCTCCGTTGTAGTTTACTGCTAGGGGACCATTCATCGGAAAGTTTACCCAGCTGGAAATTATACGTAGTTAAATATCATCAAATATATCAAATATATTATAAAATGTGATTATCGGCAGAATACTACTTGAATATTAATGTACAGGCTCTATAACTAGATCTACTATCCAGGTTTAAAGGAAGCATTCTCTCTGCAGACCAACAGGTCTCCATGTAAAAATGTGTTGTCGTGTTAATCACACCAGATTTTGACTCCACTAAACCCAGCAGCTCATCGTAGCTCGCCGTGATCGTATAGTGTTAGTACGTCTGCGTTGTGGCCGCAGAACCCGCGGTTCGAATCCGGGTCACGGCATTGTGGTACAATGTCACGGCAGATGAGTTCCCTTTTGAGTCTTGGACATTTAGCGTCCTAGCTCTTAGTTGTGTTTTGCTAGTATTGTTGTGGCAAAAAGCCGGTTATGATATATAATATATATGTATATAACGTATAATATATAATATAGCCACTGGTCAGACAGTATCCGATTTTCCGACATGGGAATGTCGCATAATGAAAATCCTTTAAACATGAAAAGACTCACATTGTGGTGGTCGACATGTCACCTAACGTTTGAGAGGTACGAGGTAAATTCAGGATGTTGAATATTACGGAAAATATTTTAAAACGGCCAATTTTACTCATTTAATTGTCATTACCATAAACGCACCGCCAGAGGGAGACACCGGCCTAGAAACCGAGAGACCCTTCAGTTTAACAGGCTGGTCCATCTCTGCAGAAATCAAATAGGATGTTAAAGGACTTCGTGACAGCAACTTCTCCCAGAAACAGTCAACATGGGGCGTTTGCATGACATCAGACACCGACCCCCATTAGGGCTGAATAGAGGGAATCAGTACATGTGCTGGGTAGCTGTCGAGTGAATGAGAATGAGACTGCTGCTAGAAAACAATTAGTTGTGGGGGTTTTTTAAAACAAAAGATGAAAGCTGCAAAGAGATGCATTGCGTCCTGATTACGTCACGCTGTGATGTGTATTGTTTTACATGATATCTGCTTACATACACACTTCTTTTAGAGCAGGCCTGCATTTTTTACAATTGGCTGTTGTATCAAAGTGACTCTGGTTACATGAGACATAACAGTAATCTCATCAGATGGAAACACTGTTTCTATTTGTTCTGCGTCGTGCTGAGTACATGGCAGGGCCAGGAGATCAACCATTGACAGTATATAGAAGATCAACCTGTGGATGAAACAATGTTAAAATGTACTGCTGCCTTCAGGCTCTGTCGGAAATATCGCGACTAAGCAAGGAGCGAGAGCCAAGTGGTAAGGAAATAATAAGGAAAAGGAAATAAGGAAATGTGGCTCATGCTTGGCTACTGAGACGTTTATAGTAAGGTGATAATTGTAGTTATCTACACAACAATACATGATATGTATCAATCAGTTGGGTCTATTTTGGCGCGTCTCTAATTTTACATTGTAAGTAAGAACAGAGCAACACTGAGTCCCATCAACTTCTACAGCAGCACAAAGCGCCCGGCCATTGTCTGACTTGTGAAACTACAACCCCCCCACTGTGTTATTATTCCCAACCATGTGGCTTTAGTCACGACCAGCACCAGCCTATCGGAATGTCGCCTCCAGTCGTTAACTCTGTGAAGGCAGCATCTCACTCACTGCTCCGTTGGCTGACATACTCGCCATTCACCAGGCTCAGCCCGCCCAGCAGCACAGAGCGGCATGGCAACGGCGAGGAGACGGGGTGGAGGGGAGAAGGTGTGGTGGGGGGTGACAGTCTAACCGGACCAGAGAGAGAGAGCAGCAGCAGCAGCAGCACTATCCCCCCCACTCCTCGCTGACTGAACCAAACGCACCGTGCGGGTACCTCGGCCAGCCAGCGCTCACACACACTGGTAAAAACGATGCACCACCACCGCCGCTCCGCACACTCGCTGCCGCTGACCAGGTGTTGGACCAGAGGACGGGGACGTCGTTAACGTGACAGAAGATCCAACTTGTATGTATGTGCAGTGCGCTCTTCTCCCCGGTCCCGTACACAGACGATCGAGAAGATGCTGAGCCGACTGATGAGCAGCAGCATCAGGAGTCTGGACAGGGAATGCAACTGCACTGTGAGGCTGCTGGACGACTCGGAGTACACCTGCACGATCCAGGTCAGTGGGGACATTTCCTGTTTCTCACATCACCTTGTTGTGGAGGACGTGCTATTGACACGTAACGGGGTGGGGATCAGGTAAAAATCTGCTGCTCACAGAATACGTTCTGATCAAAGGAGGTGTCATCCAAAATGTTCTGACTGTTGCTTTGTGTTTGTGATGCCCAGACGGGTGTCAGCAAATAGGCTGCAGACGTTTACCTGTGAGGACACCTCATGACCGCATGCTGTGTGCATTGCGTACTAATTCAAGGATTATTAATCAGCACTATTATACATTTACACCAATAGGCGGGAAATGAGATAAAACAACAACAAAAAAGAAAATCTCTGTAGCCTGTAAGCTGTTGTCATTCCAGCAGCTTCATCCATGCGTCGATTTGAATGCGTTATGAAGCAAATCTGGATAATCTGATCTTGAACGATTTCATTGGAGGGCTCAGAGAGGATTTCTGGATCTTCTGGCAACATGAGACAGGCCAGAGGCACAAAAGGTTTTGGTCTATAATCTGGGGAGGTTTAATGTTGTTTAGATTCTAATTAGTGTAAATAGAGGGTTGGTATCTTCATTTGTCTTAACAAAGCAGGTGTCTACCCTCAGTTGTCAATTTGCCCTTCAGCCTGACCCCGGATCTGACCGTGGACTTTGCTGTGCTTTTTGGACCAGGAAGGACAGCCTCTGTTTTAATGGTTTACATTATTTGCGATGAATCATGATATCTCCAGTTTTGGAACAAATTCTTAAAAAGCTTTGTTTTATGAAGATGCAACCCACTTACAGCAAGACCTACTGATCCAAACTTTCTTGGGACCATAAAGGTTTGACGCATTGTCATCTGGTGTTTCCTCTGCCCGACCTTTGTGGTTTCTTATCAATGGGGTGGAAATCAGTTGCCAAAACAGTGCGTGCCTCAGCCCACCTCTCTTCCATCACTAAAGATGTCTGAAGTAGTGTTGTAAGAGGAAGCAAAATAACCACTTACAACCGACTCCAGAATGCAATTATTAAAGCTGGATGTTGGAAATGTTTAGCTTTAAGACAAAGTAGCTTTTTAAGTAGTTTAAGTGGATTTGGTCTAATGCTGTGGTCTGCTAAGTCTTACTTCCCTCATTCTCAGTTTGCTGTTGTGGTTATTTGTTTCCGCTATTATATGTTCATCCTTGGTTTTTATTTGTTGTTGTGGCATTGATTCTACTTTATGGTCACTTCCGAGGCTGTAGTTTGATGTATATGATGGATTAGGGTAGTATTTATTGCAGTTCTATTTTATTGCATCGTAAAGGTATTTCTATTTTTCTGGTTACTTGGTGTATGTCAGTGTCCTCCGTTCCTTTGACAGGTTAGTCATAGGTCTTCCATTTAATCTGGTAATAAAGATTCATTCTGCACAAAGGATTAGCCAGTCAGTTAGTCAGTGAGTCCCGAGCAGACTTGTTCAAAGTATTTCTTTTTATTTATTTCACTTTGAGTTGTCTCAAAAATCAATTGTTATATTGACATGGATGAAGGCAAGACATGACTAGAGTCAGTAAATAGACTGTGTGTTTATAAGGGAGGGAGTGGAGGAGTAACAGCAGCTGATTAATGTCTATTACCTCCTTTGTAAATCAAGTGTGTGTGTCCCCGTAACATCTTTGGTGCGGCTGCATCATTGAAAAGCGTGTCTTGTGCATCATCTAACCTGACCCTTTGAGTTGCTGGAGCTGCGTTTGATGCTTGTTACTCGAAGGGATTCCATTGCTGCTGAATTAGAAATGACAGCACAAAAGACCATCACCACCTGTTCGTTTCTAGGATCTGACGGCAAAGGCAAAGCAAGCCTTTCAGCGTCTAACAACTTAAAGTGGTAGAGCTCGGGGGACAGATGAAATGGTGATTTTACGTCAGTCTGTGGACTTTCCCTGCTTGTCCTCATCCTGTCTGTGACTAAATAATAAGTATCGCCAACAAGTGGGAGGGCCGTGATTGTTTTTCATGAAATTTCATTCATGTTCTCATTTTTGATTTAACAAAGGCTGTGGTAGTGACTTTCAGCCACTGGATTTAGCTTTCTATCAGGTTCATTTTTGAGAAAAAAAGAAATCCTTGGACAGTGATGGGACTTTTGCCCAACTTAACATCCAGTTTTAATGTTTATGTTTTCCAAGAAGAACACTATGTACACTTGCTGCCTGGTTAGAGGAAGACATGATGTACCTAGTGTTTTTTGATGAGTTGTAGTTACCAAAGTACAGCATGCACTTGTTCCCCCTTAACTTCTGAGCTGCTCCTTCACCCAGTCCTGATTTAAAGTGTTTGGCTGTCAAGATATGCTGATCCCACCCTTTGCAACTGAGAGCACACAGCAGGGACAGAATTCTTAATTTCTAGTGGAGCTTATATTTAGAGGGATTAGCTCTCTATTGGCACATTTCATTATTTACATCGTGGGAAATATGCCATTATTTTGCACTATGGGGCTCTTGATGAGGCACAACTGGTCTAAATGGAAACATAAATAGGATCATCAGCTTAATCAATCGTCTATTGTTTACAACAACAACATCACCATTTATTTGCTGGCATTAGAATTTGTGAACACGACATTTAGGGAGTGATATTAATTATGTTTTACACAAAGCGTCCGTACAGCAAAATAAGCACAGGTGAACAGCCATTTTTCATCTGCATAAAGGACATTACAGTGACCTTACTGGAGCATGACAACACTGTTGGCTTACTGAAAATGGGAGCGGATGGCTGCTGTCTTCTGCACACCTTGGAGATGTGGCCCAGAATAAAGGGCCCTCGTGGGGCTCAACAATGGTCACGCTCTCCATTTAGCTCAATTAGCCTTCACCTTGAACTGCTGCTGTTCTACTGAAATCACATCATAGTGGAATGATGGTAGATATGACCTTCATGAATGGAAAATAAATCTTAGTGTGAAAGCAGCATGGATTGGGATAGGTAGGCAACCAGGTAAATATGAAGCAAACAAGTCCTGCCTTCTAATGTGGACACAGGCCCCAGACCACTCCCTTTGCCCATCTTTGTGCCAGGATTACCTGCTGAACCAACCTCCTCAGATTCCAGTACCACCACCCATTTACCTCACCCATGCTGTGTACCTGTCCCCCTCTCTGACTGATAGCATTGTTGCTGAATGCATGCACCCTGGAAGCATGGGGAGACTCACGTTTATTGATTTTTCCTTTTCTTTCAACACCATTCAGCCCTCCAGGATATTCACAGGTCAAAATACAATCTCTTAAAGTCTCAATCCAGGATTGATGCATAACACTATTTCTTCTGGCAGAGACTTTGGCTGAAGGTTAATTGGAAGGGAAGCAAGCAGAGGGCTGGGATGTGACTGTGCTGTGGAAAGGATGGGCGCTCAAAAGCACCATTGAAGCTTTTGGAAGCCATAGACAGGCACTTGGAGCCCCCAGGCAGCGAGGAAAGACAGGCTCAGGAGAGACAGGTGAAGGAGTGGTACTACGTTTAGCCATGTGATGTTGGTTGATATCATCAGTAAACTGTCCACCAATCCTAGAAGCAAATGTCAGGATTTGGAAAATAACAGCCACAATGCAAAGGAGTTAATTGTGGAGCTGCTACATGGAAAATGATACCTGACTTCCTCCAAGTAAAAGTGTGGATCTTCCAACTGAACAACCAGCTATCCTCCATATAACTGGGCTGATTTAAGCTCAGAGCTCAGAAGTGTCTGCAGGGTCCATGTAAGTTTAGGAAAGGCTAAGGTTAAAGATTTGCATAGTCTTATAGCCATAGATGCTGGGGATCGGCTTTACCTGCTGAACCGCAGATGCCCGATCAACAAGCAGGATAAACAGTTTGATTGATTACGTTTTAAGAAAATGTACTATGTGAACCAATATCAATATTGTATATAATATTTCATCCATATAGCTCAGGTACATGATAAACTGGCACAGTCAAAGGATAAAGTTCATGAAATGTTTTTGTCATCAAAACAAAACCAACAAGTAATGTAAGTACTTTACATTAACTCTTTAAGTTGCTGTTCATTTTATTTTTTCTGGAAACTATTTACAGTGTACCTCCAGTTCATATTTAACCATAACCTATTCAACATGTCATGATGATACAGGGATCATTTAGATCTACTGTATGTTTTGTTTGGCAGTTTTATCCCGGAAGACTTTGAATGATGTAGTCATGGAGTGTGGTTAAACAGCTACAGTCTGGCACTGTTAATCAGCAGCATCACATTAGATGCTGCCCCACATCCTATACAGTTACATTTAATGAGTTTATTATAGGAACATGCTAGCTATGTGATTCAAATCAACATTCATAACCTGAACTATAAGATGTAGACCACAATCTCAATCAATCTAACATATTTATTGAGTAAACATAATGTGGAACTGTGATATTTATCAACATAACATACTGTATACAGCTCATCATCTGAGGAAGTACCACAGTAAACAGTTGGGGAGTCATTTTTCATGGTAAATTATTATTCCTACCGTCAACCAAAAGATTTATATCAGAGACTGAAATTAAGATGAATGATAAAATAGCATTAATCCAGAGAGACGTACCTCAGAACTGTGAGTAAGTGCTTCAGTCATCTGGCACCAACTCAGGTCCTGTATGGTCCACTAATGAAATTAGGGCCGTCCTTTTGAAGCCAAATGCACAACTTGGAAGGAGCTCCTCTTGTTTTGCGATGTGAATGCATTATTGAAATAGGTTGCTCTTGTCTCCTAAGTGGTGTCTCTGCATATCTCATATTGTTTTCTTCTCAGTGTGTGCTGCTAAAATTGGAATAGAGGTTGTAACATATTTTGTTTTCGTACATGCAATGCTTGTCTTCTGTCTTCACTTCCTCGGTAAAATAATGATAATGGATAAATATTGCAACATCTTAAATCAGGCCATAAGTTTCATTATTTCAGTTTGACCAAACGAGACCTCAGTCATATGTTAATGTGCAAACGCCTTTTCTTCATTAATTGATTTAT